CTGCGGGATGGACAGGAGGAACAGGCCCGTCGGTTGGAAGAGCAGATGCTCCTCATGAAGGATCTTCACGCTACCTTCGGGAAGGAGATCAAGGAGGTGAAGGATAGGGTTGCTCAGCATGACAACCGCCTGTCAGAAGCTGAAACCCAAATCGCGAAAGCTGAAACCCGAATCGAGAAAGCTGAAACCCGAATCGACCAAGTAAACGATCGGGTTGACAACGTAATGGCTGACATGAAGAAATCACTGGACGAACTCAAACTTGGAGATGGAGCTACAGCTCCCGTAGTAGCTACAACACCTTCGCTACGTGGGTTCAAGGTGCCACCGTTCGACGGTACCTCTTCCTGGTCACCCTACAAAATCCAGTTCGAGGCTGTTATGAAGGCGAACGGCTGGAATAAAAGTCAGGCCATGACTGCTCTCACACTAGGCCTGCGCGACCAGGCCTAAACAGTTCTGGAAGCTCTCGGTGAGGAAGTGACTTATGAGCAACTCCTTGAGGCATTGGAGGCGAGATATGGCGACGCTCACCTGGAACACGTCTTTCGTGCGCAGCTTAAAGATCGCGTCCAGCGCATCAACGAAAACCTGCAGCAGTGGGCTCTAGAGGTGGAGAAGCTGGTGCGAAAAGCATACCGGTCTGTACCTGCGCTCATTGAAGGGAACCTAGTGCAGACATTCATCGACGGCATCCGCGACCTGGAAGTCAGAGCTGCTGTGAGGCTCGGGCACCACGAGACGCTTAGGGACGCCTTGGCCCATGCACTGGAGATGGAAGCTGTGCGACAGGATCATCGTTCCCATTGCGTCAGGGAGGTTGCGGCAGCTACAGTTCGCGATCGCAACAAAGGATACAGCCCTAGGTGCTATGGCTGTGGGGAAAAGGGCCATCTTCGATCCAGCTGCCCTAAGCGGACCTTGGAAAGGGAAGGTGAACGATCTCAGGAGGGTAGTGCGGCCAACAGCACCGCCCAGCAGCAGCAGGGAAACGATTAAAAGCCAGAACTGCGGGGCGGGTGCTGGCTGATGTTAAAAGAGCCCCAAGGATCTCGATCTCACAAAACCACGATGGGAACAGTCTAATCATCAACGGCGAGGTCAACAGAATGCCGTGTAAACTGACCATAGACACTGGAGCCTCTCGTACGGTTGTTGCATTTTTGGGTTTGTGCTCCTATTACCGGCGATTTGTGAAGAACTTTGCAGATATAGCCGAAACTCTGCATAAGCTAAGCAATGAGAAGCGACATTTCTGCTGGGATGAAAGTTGCAATATCGCATTCCAGGAGCTTAAGGACCGTCTGTGCAAAACACCTATTTTGGGATACCCTGATGCAAGCAAAGAATTTATAGTTGACACAGACGCAAGTGATATAGGACTTGGCGGTGTGTTGTCTCAACGGAATGGTGACCAAGAGGTCGTGATAGCGTACTTCAGCAAGTCGTTGTCAAAACCGGAAAGGAACTATTGTGTCACAAGACGCGAATTGCTAGCTGTGGTAAAGTCCTTGCAGCATTTTAGCAAATATCTTCTGGGGTGAAAATTTCACTTACGAACTGACCATGCTGCACTAAAATGGCTATTGCAGTTTAATAATCCAGAAGGACAAGTTGCGAGGTGGATTGAAATACTGCAGGAATACGACTTTGAGATCAAACATCGCAGCGGGAAATCTCATGGCAACGCAGATGCATTGTCAAGAAGACCTTGTCCTGAAGATTGTAAACATTGTACTAGGCAAGAGAGTAAGGAAGTGGTATCCGTGAGAATGCTCAGGGCAGACCACCTCAGCAACGAGTGGAAGGACAGCTTACAACGTGCACAGCAGGAAGATCCGGACATCAAGCCGATCCTGGAATGGATGAAGGCCAGTGCTCCCAAGCCCAAGTGGAGCGACGTCTCAGCGATGAGTTCGATCACTAAAAGATATTGGGCCCAGTGGGACAGCTTGCTGCTTCAGGATGGAGTTCTGTGCTAAATGGGAAAATGTCGGGGAGACAGCTGTCATTTAAATAGTTTCCCTAAAGCTAAAGTACCGGATGTTCTACAGCATGCCATAATGATTATTCAGGAGGCCATCTGGGAGTTAAACGAACTCTACTGAAGATCCGCGAACGGTTTTACTGGGTCCATTGTCGAAACGATGTCGAGGACTGGTGTCGCAAATGTACAAGTTGTGCGGCTGTAAAGGGACCTCATACTCGTAGTAGAGGTGCATTGAAGTTGTACAATGTTGGTGCACCATGGGAGAGAATAGCCATTGACGTGGCGGGGCCGTTTCCGGAGAGTGAAAGCGGTAACAAGTATTTCATGGTTGTGATAGATTACTTCACTAAGTGGCCAGAAGTCTTCGCCATTCCAAATCAAGAAGCTTCAACAGTTGCAGATAAACTAGTTCATGAAGTCTTCTGTCGTTTTGGAGTACCTTTAGAGATTCACAGCGATCAAGGAAGGAATTTTGAATCTCAAATATTCCAGGAAACTTGCCGAGTTATGGGTACTCATAAAACAAGAACGACTTCTTATCACCCGCAATCTGATGGAATGGTAGAACGATTTAATCAGACATTGGAGAGGTACCTAGCAAAAGTTGTAGACAATCGGCAACGAGATTGGGACAAGCACATACAACCGTTTTTGTTGTCATATCGAAGCGCTGTTCACGAAAGTACAGCAGTGACACCAGCTTTCGCAAACTTTGGAAGAGAATTACGGCTGCCTGCAGACTTGATCACCGGGATACCACCTGATGCTCCACGTAGTATAACCGATTATGCAAATGACTTGCGGAACAAAATGAATGACGTTTATGAGCACGTCAGACAATCGGGCCAGCAAATGTCTGAAAAGATGAAAACCTGGTACGACCGCAAAATGAACAACAAAGGGTTCGACGAAGGTTCACTAGTGTGGTTGCACAATCCAGTCCGCAGCAAAGGGAAATCTCCTAAGCTTCAAGCTAAATGGGATGGCCCGTACCGGATTGTGACCAGGATCAACGAGGTAACCTACCGGATACAGAAAGGCGCAAGAGGGACTCCTAAGATCGTCCATGTGGATCGCCTGGCACGTTATTATGGAGCCGAAAATGCTCGGGACGAGCATGTCTTAGGAGGGGGCAGTGTTACGCGCTTAAGTCGATGGCACTAGCGCCATCTAGTCTCGAACCGAAGAACTAAACTTCTTGAAGTTGAAACTCGAACTCTCGGTACCTTGCGCGTGTTTATTTGAATATTCTGGATATTTCGCTGCTAATTTATATTTATAGGCGCTGCAAGATGCGATCGGGGAAGTATTGAAGTTAGCGAGACAAGCGAAGCTTCGGAGCGGAATAAAGTGAATCAGTGTGATTAATTATTAGTGTTTTTAACTTTAATTAGTGTAAAGTGAATTAAAGTGTTAATTTAGGTAATTCTATCGGCAATTTTTATTGTCACGAACCTCAAGCTCGTAACAATAACGATAGCTAGTTGGTGAAGCTTTCGGAGTTAGGTTTCACACGTAGCCTACTAGATTTCTTTGCGAATTATCTGAGTGGAAGTCAACAATACGTAGATTTCGCAGGTTTTGAATTGCAGCCGTATCGTACTTATTCTGGAGTGAGTCAAGGGAGCAATCTTGGCCCTTTATTATTTATTTGAAGAGGCGCAGTTTTTGCTATATGCCGATGATCTTAAATTTGTTTTGAAAGTAAACAATGCTTCTGACTGCCAGTCTGCAAAGGGACATTGATGGATTGGCAGTGTGGGGAATGGAAAACAATGATAAAAAAATGAATTTCAATGTGAATAAATGTTGAGTCATAAGTTATGGTCGTGCAAAATTCGCTCAGAAATATGCTTATGAAATGGTAATCCTCGTAATTCCGCGTGTTACATATATTAGAGACTTAGGCGTTGAGATGGTCTCGGAACTTAATTTTCGTAAGCATATTTTAAATATTTGTAAAAAAAGCTTCTAGGAGTCTCGCCTTTAGATTAAGGCAGTGCAGGGATTTTCAGAATTTATTTACTATTAGAATTTTATATAATGCTCTCCTAAGAAGTCAACTTGAAACGAACGCAAGTATTTGGAATCCACATAAAATAAAGTATATTGTCATGGTCGAAAAAATTCAAAATAAATTCACACGGTTTTTATACTTTAAGCAGTACGGAATCTATCCTTGTTTTCCACTGATGTATCTGAGTCTGTTTGTACTGGGGATGGTTGGTTACAGCCGCCTGAGTGTGAGGAGAGACATCACGCTTATTAAATATTTGTGGAAAGTATTACGTGGATAGATATATCACCCAGATGTGCTCGCTGCGTTAAAGCTGCGGGTGCATGATTACGTGTGTTCCCGTCGTCGTCCCTCGACCTTCATTACTCTTCGTGCCCACTGCTAGGACGAATTTGCTTCAGAATGCACCATTATCACGTGCTATATACTATGTTAATATCATCTCACAGGGTATTAACATATTTGCATGTAGTGAGACGAAATTCTTAATTGCAGCACACAAATGCGTTAACAATTGAAATGTTTTTAATTAGTATTTTATTTTATATACATCAATTTGATAGATTTTATACTAGATATCATTATTTATTAGTAAGTAGTTTTCTTATATTTAGGTTAGTTATAGCATCGCATTGGTTTAATAACTGTAATGATGTTATAATTGTGTAACAAATAAATAAATAAATAAATTTTAATACGAAATAGTATTATTTACTCTGACGATTTGGAAGAAATTTTGTATTAAGATAAAGTTTTTCTTTACAAGTTTTTCTAGGTAGGTGTAATACCTCAGAAAAATACATATTTTTACCAACATCAAACAAAGGCCGGTTACCCAGGCACTGTTTCACTAATACCGTAACTTTTTTTACTTACTTACATAGACAGGAGATCTTTAGAAAACAAAATTTTAAGTTTCAATAAGAATTTATTTCATCAAACGTGATAAAACATTTTATAGACAAAATAATAAACCATTTGAACATGTGCTATTTAGTTGAGGATTTCAGGAAGGACGATCGCTGGTGCGGGGATGATGGGTTGAGCAACAATGACGGCCTCGGGAGCATCGGCTTCTTCGACAACGGTGACGGGCTCGGGGACGATGGGATTGTCCACAACGATAACAGGCGTAGCTTCGAAAGCTTCATCGACAACATGGACGGGGGTGGGCGCTGGGAAGGGAGATGGGATGGTTTCAACAGCAACAGGGGAAACAGCAACGTCAGAAGTAGACTTGATGTTCAGGATGATTTGAACAAGAGGGGCGCTAGCAGAGGGGGCAACGGGATCAGGCATAACGGGGGTGGGTTGTACCTCTGCCACGGCTCCACCGTCAGGAAGGGGAAAGTCGATGATAGCGGGTCCGATGGAAATAGGCTCAGGGTTGTCAACGACGGCGGGTCCAACCTCAACGGGCTCGGGTTGGTTCAATCCGAGGATATCCAGTAGCATCTGTTCGAGAGCGGCAGCTGTAGCGGGGTCAGTGCTGGGACTCTGGATAGCAGCCACGATCTCTTGGATCTCAGGGTTGTCGCTAGCGATAACCGCGGGCGGGATAACGCTGGCCGAAGCCACGGCAAGAAGTGCAAAAGCAACGAAGTATTTCATCTTGCAGCTCTAAAATAAAAATTAAATGTAAGTTATGAATTATTTAATAACTATGATTATTTTTTTTAGAAAGAAACCGTTGTGTACGTATTTTCACGAAAGTATATTCCAAAGGTTTCGAAGTTTTAATACTTACAATTTTCCCGTAAAGTCACTGTGACTAACTATAACAATCGTTTCTTGTTTGAAGTTTTTATATAAAAAATTATCTTTGAACTTCCATTATAAAATCGACACTTATCTTTATTTATTTAGCATAATAAAATATTTATATCAATAAAATTAAAATTTACGAACTGCTAAAGATAGTTTAATCCACAAAGTGTGTAATAAAAAATGAAGCACACACTTCCTTCTTCAAGTACATATTTCTTATGGTTTGTTCATCATTATCATCATCATCAAAACCTTTCACAAGTCCACTGCTGAACAAAGGCCTCCCGCAAGGAATGCCACAAAACGCGGTTCTGAGTCACATGCACACATAAGCTTCCTGTATGTCTTACCATGTCTCAGGGCCTGGCCCTACACTCCGCCTATCAGTACGAAGCTGCCCGTTGAGAAACTTCTTTTCCCCATCAGTTGTCGTTTCTTCGAGCTTATATCATTATATGGCCGGCCTATTACCACTTCAGCTTACTAATGCGTTGGGCTATGTCGGTTATTCTGGTTCTACTGCGGATGTTATACATGTCAATACTAATGTAATTTTAAATGGGGAGCAACTGAGTCTTGTTGATACCACCATTTTCCTTGGAATCACACTGGACGCAAAGCTTAAATGGCTCCCCCATATATCAAAACTAGCTAGCAGACTTAGTTCTGCAGCATATGCTGTGAAAAAGATTAAAACTCTTACCAGTGTCGAAACAGCTAGGATAGTTTACTTTAGTTATTTCCATAGCATTATGTCGTATGGTATTTTGCTATGGTGACACGCGACTGACACTGAAATTATATTTATTTTATAGAAGAGGGCCATTAGAGCAATATATAATTTAAAACCAAAAGAGTCACTGAGGCAAAAATTTAAGGAAATTAATATATTAACTCATGCTACTAATACATATATTAAATAAAATTAATATTAACTAACACAAAAATAAAAGTAGTTTTGCGAAAATAAGTGATATTCATTCTGTAAATACTAGGAACAGACACAAGCTAGTAGTACCAGTTACTCGACTCCACCGAGTCAGTAATTCATTCCTGGGGCGATGTATACGCTTTTACAACAAAACCCCAGAAATATACGAAATTTGTCATACACGAAGTTCAAAAATGTTATTAAACAAAGTTTGTATAAAAAGGGTTATTATAATATTAAGGAATTTATGGATGATAATAACCCCTGGGAAGGGTGATCGCTACCAAGCTATTTCTAATTTGCCTTGTGTTGTTTATTGTAAACATTATTGTAAACTATTATTGGAAAAAAATAGTCCCGCTGGGTTTCTTGCTGGTTCTTACCAGGACAGAGGTTTTTTTTGCGAACCAGTGGTAAATGAAAAAAGTGACTTTCAATAAGTATTGTTATAATCTACATTGAATAAAAAAGTTTCTGTTTCTGTTTCTGTTTCTGATATCCTCTTTTCTAAGTTTACCAGACAGAGAAACCTCCATAGCTTACTAAACTATCTTGAGCTTCCACATACGTCCAGCAGTAAAGGACCATATCTCAGATTCATGGTCATCACGAGCAACACGCACTGGTTGTACAATCTTGTTTTCAGGTTTTGGGGTACACCTGAGACGAAGATGTGTCGTGATCTCCCAAACGCTGCCCAGCCGAGATGAATCCGTCGATTGACCTCTCAGTCGAAGTTGGATTTACCTAGTCTGACTATTTGTCCCAGGTAAACATACTCGTCAACAACTTCGAGTTTTTTGCTCCAAACAACTATCGAAATAGGTGTGACATGGACGTTGCACATGCTTCCTGTTTTATCCATGTTCATCTTAAGAGCTATCCTTTGGGAGGCACTACTGGGGCCAAGAACGGGTTATGACGGTATCGCACCGACTAAAACCATATGATGTTCACCTTCGCTGCATATTGACAGGGTCAGGGGAACGCTTTCGCTCATCTGCGACCCCACTGGCACCGGCCACGCCATGGAAGCGCCTCCTCGAGAGAGAAATTTTCCTCCCCTTTCTCCATCTCAGGTAAGACACACCGGGGACACATGACGCTCTTTCCTAGGCAGCCTCTAACTTCACCTGCGTAACGAATTCGATACGCAGAAGCCATGGGGTCAGGAAAAAATGAGTACTCGGAAGCAGCAGCTTTACCGACCACGGCGGCGGAACTGGTCTATGGCTACGCCGTCAAACAAGTTGCGGCTGCGGAGAGTAGGAAGAGCGGTGCCTCGCCAATATCGACACTCCTCTTCCTCTGTGACCTCACCACTACCAGCCTTTATAAAATGACAAATGATGAGATCAACTTCGACATGACGGACAAAAGGCGCGTAATCAGAGATATCTCAGTGATCAACAAATTCAACACTGGGTGCGACTTGTCCAAAGCAATTAATAAAGTCAGGCGTTACCTTGCGGAAATATATCATAATAAAGTTATTAAAATTTCACTTGCTTAGATTCCGGCAATAAAATAAAATGATATTCTTCGTATAATATCCAGTTATACGAAATATTTAACAATTAATAGCAAGGTTAATCATAGGTTACTATTTTTGCACAATATTTTTTATACAAAAAAAATAACTATATATTAATAAAATTATAGAATCGAGTAACGAGATATTGTGTGCGCGGGTTTTCTTTTTAAATAATATTAGAGTTTATGAAAATTTAAACAAAACTAAAGACGAAATCGAGATAAAAATGCAATTGATCGCAAACAGTGTATTCACAAATCTCTTTACATTAGATATTATATAAATTTTAAGAATTACAAGTTTTGCAAACCAAATTAATGTTGCGTTTCAGTTATATGTTGAAGACGCACTACATAATATAAATATTATGTAATATGTTCGGAAAAAAACAGAATGAATTTAAATTTCATTAATTGTAATAGGTTCAACTTCGGCCTCCTAAACAACATTTAATCCTGTCCCACACCAGCTAAGATGGGTTAGAAGATTTAGCTTTAAGATAGAAGTAACATTTTTGAATATTTTCTTTGTTTTATTTGATTTATGTTGTAACAGATTTATTACTATTTTGTAAATGATGTGGTGATTAGAGTAATGTGGTCGCTCAGTGAGAAATCTATTTTGCATTCGAAAGTTTATTTTTGTAAAACTGTTTAATTCCTACATGGACACCAGACAAATCTAGACACTGACAATTCGGCTTTCCCCTTTCTATACACGCCAATGGTTAAACATAACCTATCCAGTCATGACAGCTCACAGTCTATATCCAGCCCATAGTCCAGTTTGTTGCCCGTGTTTATGTGGGACTGATAACAAAAAAGACTTAGCCGACTACGTTACTTGCCTAGCATATTGTTACGAGCTTGAGGTTCGTGACAATAAAAATTGCCGATAAAATTACCCAAATTAACACTTTAATTTACTTTACACAAATTAAAGTTAAAAACACTAATAATTAAACACACTAATTCACTTTATTCCGCTCCGAAGCTTCGCTTGTTTCGCCAAATCAAGACTGCTTCCATCGCATCTTGCAGCGCCTATATATTTAAATTAGCAAAGAAATATCCAGAATGTTCAAGTAAACACGCGCAAGGTACCGAGCGTTCGAGTTTCGACTAGGCGCTGTCGGTTGAGTAATTTGTGATGTCATTTTCTCAATGCTCCCCTCGCTCTCGTTCCTGACACTAGATGGCGCTAGTTGACTTATTCATGCAACACTGCCCCCTCCTAAGACATGCTCGTCCCGAGCATTATCGGTCCCATAATAACGCGCCAAGCGATCCACATGGACGATCTTAGGAGTCCCTCTTGCGCCTTTCTGTATCCGGTAGGTCACATCATTGATCCTGGTTACAATCCGGTACGGGCCTTCCCATTTAGCTTGAAGCTTAGGAGATTTCCCTTTGCTGCGGACTGGATTGTGCAACCACACAAGTGAACCTTCGTCGAACCCTTTGTTGTTCATTTTGCGGTCATACCGGGTTTTCATCTTTTCAGACATTTGCTGGCCCGATTGTCTGACGTGCTCATAAACGTCATTCATTTTGTTCCGCAAGTCATTTGCGTAATCGGTTATACTGCGTGGAGCATCAGGTGGTATCCCGGTGATCAGGTCTGAAGGCAACCGTAATTCTCTTCCAAAGTTTGCGAAAGCTGGTGTCACTGCTGTGCTTTCGTGAACAGCGCTTCGATATGACAACAAAAACGGTTGTATGTGCTTGTTCCAATCTCGTTGCCGATTGTCTACAACTTTTGCTAGGTACCTCTCCAAAGTCTGATTAAATCGTTCTACCATTCCATCAGATTGCGGGTGATAAGAAGTCGTTCTTGTTTTATGAGTACCCATAACTCGGCAAGTTTCCTGGAATATTTGAGACTCAAAATTCCTGCCTTGATCGCTGTGAATCTCTAAAGGTACTCCAAAACGACAGAAGACTTCATGAACTAGTTTATCTGCAACTGTTGAAGCTTCTTGATTTGGAATGGCGAAGACTTCTGGCCACTTAGTGAAGTAATCCATCACAACCATGAAATACTTGTTACCGCTTTCACTCTCCGGAAACGGCCCCGCCACGTCAATGGCTATTCTCTCCCATGGTGCACCCACATTGTACAACTTCAATGCACCTCTACTACGAGTCTGAGGTCCCTTTACAGCCGCACAACTTGTACATTTGCGACACCAGTCCTCGACATCGTTTCGACAGTGGACCCAGTAAAACCGTTCTCGAATCTTCAGTAGAGTTCGTTTAACTCCCAGATGGCCTCCTGAATAATCATTATGGTACAGCTGTAGAACATCCGGTACTTTAGTTTTAGGGACAACCATTTGTAAATGACAGCTGTCTCCCCGAACATTTTCCCATTTACGGC